TATATATATATATATATGTGTGTGTGTGTGTGTGTGTGTGTGTATTTGACCGCGCAAATTTCACACGCGGCAATCATTAGCGAAGAATATAATGACTGGATGCACGTCTACTATATAATCCCTGCTGCAGGCAGCAGCTCAGTCACATTTGTATTACCAAATGCAAATTACAAATCTACTGCACGCGAAGGTCATTTTCCCAAGCCAATATGGACAAAATGACCTTGATCAGATTCGAACTCTGCTCTTTTGATCAGATCGATAACGTTTTAATGATTTGACCCCGCGACCATCATAAAGCCTGTAGCTAGATAGAGCCTCTACCAATGGTTTAAGGGACTCTATCAACCTATTCTCCTTCCAATTCTTGGTTAAATAACAGGGTAAACTAGGCTCTCTAATATTGGCTGTTAAAGTGCGGCACTGGAATCCAAAGATACACTGGCATAGCGAAAGACGCCTTTCAAAAGCCAAGCAAAGTATTATGAAACAGAAAAAATCATTAGAAACAAAGAAAAGAGTACTGAACTGTTCACATATGTGGAAGTGAATACTGAACCAACTCCTCAAAGATGAAGATGGGACTTGAAGCAATAGAAATGTGGTTCTACAGAAGAATGCTGAGGACACCATCGGACATCGAAGTTTTAAATAAAATGGAAACAAAAAAGACACTTATACTTAACACCAGGAAGAGACAGCTGAAATTTTTAGGGCAGATAATGAGAAAAGAAGGCTTGGAAAATTTGATCCTCATAGGACAGATTGTAGGCAAGAAGGACAGAAGAAAACAACACGTAACCTACCTGGCGATCTTGAATAAATGGCTTGAAAATACAAGGTTTAGGAGAGATAACAAAAAGAAAACATTTATTGAGCTACAAAGGGCATGAAACTGAGGATAGCCATGATCGCGAACGTCCTGAAGAAGAAGAAGAAAAAGAAGAAGAAGAAGAAGAAGAAGAAGAAGAAGAAGAAAAAAAAAGAAGAAGAAATTGGTTGGCTGTCAGTCTATAAGAGCATATCTGAATTCAAAGGAGTCGTAACGGGAAATCCCTCAACTGTCCCAAAAAGTCAAGGCAAAAAAGAAGGAAATCGTGGAGAATCATTACCATCTATATTCTGAAGAGAATAAAAAAAACTGTCTGAACAGCTATGGATTTTAGTGGTTAAAGTTTACTCAAGTGTTTATTCGTTCAGTTCTTTGTCACGTGTCATTGACGTGGATATTTTCTCAAATATTTAACAAGCCAACACGAACCGGAAAGAATCAATTTCGAACGCCAGCTTGACATAATTTTATCTTGATGGATGGCATTCTTATTGATTCTTCATTTTTAACACAACTGTTAAAAAAGAAAATTGTATTAGAAGCTGGAGGAGACAGGGTAGAGTAATGGCTAGCGGTTCGGATTGACGAATCGGTAAAGACGAGTTCGAATTCCAGTCGAATCCATTACATTCACTTACTTGCTAATACCCTTTGGGGAAAGGTATGAATCCTCTTCTTCTCCCCCCCCACAGCTATGGGTAAATAACAGATTCTATAGCCATGGATGGCAACTGGCTTACCGCAGAAACAAATGTCAACCATCTGCGGGAAAAAAAATCCGCCTCGTCAGTTATGTACCAAAAGATACATGATCGCCTAAACGTGTATCACGCATGGCACAAAACTGACTGATTGTGCTTATTCACAACGGGAAATATTATTTAATAAATGATTAAAATATAGTATGCGCTTTGTTATATAGCCTACAGTCCAAATGTTTGAGACAACCTCAGCTATTTAAAAGAAAGTGAGACATGATTTTTAATAGAAATTTTATTATGACAAAAAGAAAAAAAAATTTTATGATTAAATTTTGCTCTCTTCAACATATCCTCCTTTAGTCTTGATTACTGCAGCACAATTTTTGGCCATTCGTTGAAAAAGTTTCTCAAAGCATAAGTTTGATAATTAATTCCATTTTTTTTCAATGATTCTTAAGAGCTCTTTTTCACTCTTCTGTCAAGTTCATCCCACAGTAATTTTGAGGATTGCTTCAAACTTTTGAATTGTAGTGTATATATATATATTTTCTAAACAAAGTAAAGTATATTTTTATTTATTAATTCGAAAGATTTTATTACTTAAACGTTATTTTTAGTGGATACCTGTATTTGAATGTTACTGTGAATTGGTTGAAGAATGAAAGAATTTCTTTTACTTCTGATTCCGACGTTAATATCTCAAAAAACAATATGCTTCAAGGCTTTGTCTCAAGAGAGTAACTCCTTTCAGTTCCTGTGCGATCGTGACTCTCCACAACTTCCTGTCTTTTGTTGTTGTTTATCATACCTTCTCTCTTGTCGCTTGTAGAACTTTCTTCCAGCCTCTTGCTTTCCAGTCATTGTTCAAAAAATTTAAATGCAATGTCCATCGTTATCTCCAGTCATCAAAATTCCTGTTCTTTTATTGATCTCTCTCCTTGACACTGTTTTCTTCTTCTCATATTCTCCCACAGACTGTAACCCGTTGCGTCCTAGTGGCTTTATTGCCTTTCTCGGGGTGAAATGATTAAAAATATATTAGCCCACCCCTGGGTTTAACACGGGACCAGAATCTTGTTTTCATTGTTAGAAACGAGATGAAGAGAAATAAGGCCAAGCCTCGGCAGAAACAAAAAGAGTAAAAGATGTGGATTGTGTGAAAATGTTTGACATGACCCATTTCTATTGCAAAAAGAAGGAGAGAAATATATTCATGAGAATGAAATGGCATTTTACGGAACACTTTCACCGCCATCTGTCTTTAATTGAGTACTTACGTCCACTGGAGATGTTTGCGTATAGATTTAAGACACGGTAACAATTTTATCTCCCCACCGCTGTTTTTGTTCAGTAAATGTTCGATTATTCGGCATGTTTACCGGAATAACGGTTGTGTTAAAGCTTACCGTGTAGAATGAATTCTTCTTCACCGTGACGCGTTTGACCCGCCATTCGTCCCATCGTCACTCGAAAATGCCGTCTGCTTTCAACATTTGGGCACCTCGACATGGTGTAATGGTTAGCAAGTTTGTCTCGCTAAAACAATTACGACTGAGTGGTGAGTTCGATCATCACTGGGTACCCCTTATTTCGGCCTTGTGCCACATCTAAGCTACGCTTGGAAAATCACTATGTTAATATCGCTCATTTCTTCTTTGCCATGACTGGACATAACTTGAGCATCGCCAATGCAGTCGACAGTTGATGAACCAATGCTACACACATACAAAGACACACACACATACACAACACACACATACAAAAGCGGGGGTGGGGAAACGGGGACTATATAGGAGGATTGATATTACATAAAAGTTCAGTACTCTTTTCTTTATTTCTAAGGAAATCTTTCTGTTTCTTAATACTTTAAATAGGGTACTTCGACGTGCTGTAATGGTTAGTAAGCTTGTCTCGCTAGATCAATTAGGTCTGAATAGTGAGTTCGATTCTCACTGGGTGCCCTATACATTCGGCCTTGTGCTACATCTAAGCTACGCTTAGAAAATCATTTTGGGAAATTTCGACGGGGTGTAATATTATCAAACATCTCTCGCCAGATCAATTACAATTGAATAGTGAGTTCGATCCTCATTGGGTGCTCCATACTTCCGGCCTTGTGCCACATCTACCTTACACTTAGAAAATCATTCGACATGGTGTAATTGATAGCAAACTTGTCTCGCTAGATCAATTACGACAGATTAGTGATTACGATCCTCACTGGATACCCCATACTGTCAGCGTTGTAACACATCTAAGCTACGCTAAGAAAACTACCTTAATATTTTGCTTAGTTTTTAAAAGGCATCTTGCGCTATCTGATATAAATTAGTGCTTTCCAACTCCCGATAACAAACAGAAAATTTCATTAGAAACAAAGAAAAGAGTATTGGACTATTACGCGATATCAATCATCCTATATAGCCGTGAATGCTGTACAATCTCCTCACGAATGAGGAAGAGATGTTCTACAGAAGGATGCTGAGGATGCTATGGATCGAACATGTGAGCAACTACGAAGTTTTAGAGAAAATAAAAACGAAAGAGAAACTTATACTTAACATCAGGAAGAGACAATTGAAAAAGGACATAATGAGGAAAGAAGGCTTGGAAAATCTGATACTGACAGGACAGACTGAAGACGGACATAGGAAATCAAAGCATTAGGAGAAATAACAAAAAAGACAACATTTATTAAGAGCTACAAAAGAAAGGAAGTTCTGCAGAGTCATGATCGCCTACGTCCTGAAGGCACACAGTACATAAAGACTTTCTTTATTTCAGCGAGACGTGAGATTTTATTTGTAAAATAGATCAACTTCATTTTTAAGCAATATTCCGTATTTTTACACATTTGGCAATTGAGGGAAATTAAATCCTTTACATCTGATTTTTCCCCTGTTTTTATGATAGGATCGGCTATCCGAACAAACAATTAAACGAACAAAATCCTATCCAGCCGTCTCGTTCGGATAAACGAGGTCCCACTGTATCGAGCTATAGCCGCCTTGCAGATGGCCAGTAGACCACCAACTCTTCAAGTTAATCTCATTGCTGATTCATTCCCGTCTTGCATATCTTTTTTTAAGAATTACTTCGAATTTATTCCTGTTACCTATTCTTTTAGGTATTTTGAAACGTTGGGAACCTCTTCCACTCCAGCGTCGAAAGCAAAATAACACCGTTGTTTGCATAAGTAAAAAAAAGTTTTACAATCGAGCCAAACATAACAAATACGTCAGTAAGGAGACGCGGATCGTCTCTTGATTTACCGTTGGTGGTCTCAGACGGCTTTCGACGAAGACAGATTGGAGGTTGGACAAAATAATTAACAGGCCGTATATAATGTCGCATTCAGGTATGAATTTCATGGCGGAGCGGAGGTTTATCCGGGAAGAAATGTCATTGAAATCGAAAGGCTAATGCTTTTATGATGTTTTTCCATTCAGTATATCTATCGAGCTAGTTCAGTCGCGACATATCTTTCTTTCTTTCTTTCTTTCTTTAGAGAGAGAGAGAGAGAGAGAGAGAGAGAGAGAGAGAGAGAGAGAGGGGGTATATTGTGATAGAAATAATCTAGGATAGAAAGAAAGAAATATAGGACACATAGATAGATAGATTGATTGATTAATTAATAGATATAGTCTCTCAGTGATAGATAGATAGATAGATAGAAATAGACTGACAGTGACAGTGACAGATAGACAGTAATAGATAGATAGATAAATACATAGATGGATAGTTAGATAATGAACACACTGAGATAGATAGATAGAAAGAAATAATCTTAGATAGAAAGAAATAAATACATTGGGACACGTAGATAGATGGGATACATAGGTATATAAGAACAGACTAAGATAGATAGATAGATAGATAGATAGATAGATAGATAGAGAGAGAGAGAGAGAGAGAGAGAGATAGGAACAGACTAAGACAGATTGATAAACAACAGGGTAAGATAGATAGATAGATAGATAGATAGATAGATAGATAGATAGATGAACGGAATGAGATAGATAGATAGATAGATAGAGATAGATATAGAGATAGAGAGAGATAGATAGATAGATAATATTCTTTCTTACTTTCCATCAAAAGAACTACCAAGGCATAATGGCTTTGTTATCTCATCTTGTGCGCCATTTCTCTTGTGTCGTTACTTCGATTCCCACTTCACTGATACATCATTATTGTGGCCTAAATAAGCACACCAATCCTTTACACAGAGTCCGACATATCATCACCTGCCTCTGATTCATCAACAAGAGAGCGTTAACATCTATTTATTCATTTATATGCTGCGTCCCTTCAGGACATAGGCGATCACATGGGACACCCAGTGAGGATCGAACTTACTATTCAGTCGTAACCGATTCAGCGAGACAAGCTTGCTACCCATTAAACCGCGTCGAAGTGTCTCAAATGATTTTTTAAGCGTAGCTTTGATGTGGTACAAGGCCGAAAGTATGGGGCACCCAGTGAAGATCAAACTCACTATTCAGTCGTAATTGATCTAGCAAGACAAGCCTGCTAACCATTACACCACGCTGAAGTGGTCCAATATATATATATATATATATATATATATATATATTTACACATGGCCTGACGATTGCGTCTAACATTTATATTTACACACGCTTTATCTCTGATATTGAGCACTTTATACCATAAATATACCATAAATATAGCACACCTTAAGACTATATATATATATATATATATATAAAGAAATATAGTCTTAAGGTGTGCTATATTTATGGGATAAAGTGCTCAATATCAGAGATAGAGCGTGTGTAAATATAAAAGTGGACATAGAAGTCAACACTTAGAGGCGACAGTCTGTTTCATGCTATATGCAATCGTCAGGCCACATATGCTGTTATTTTTCTCGGCTATTTATATATATACGGGTTAGTGGTGCATTGTGGGTATTCTATTATGGCGGTTATTTTTTACCGGAAGTCGCTTTGTTTATTTATTTGGGTCAAATTATATTGCTCGTTTTTATTTTTTTGTTTCTTATTTTATTTATTTATTTATTAACGTAGTAAAAATTTGTTTATATCACGTATTTAACAGTTTTGTTTTGGTTTGAGAATTTAATTAAAGCTATTTGTTCAATTTTGGGGTTGGTTGTTGTAGTTCATTCTAACTATTATTTTTTTTGGCGGGAACAGTTTTTAATTTGGGATTGGTTTGTCTATTTACTTGGATGAATTTAGGTCAATTTATTTGTATATTTTCTCTTTTCGGTTTTTTAAGCAACATAGTATTTATTTTATTTTATTTTATTTTATTTTATTAGTGTATTTGTTTGTTTTTATTTTATTTTTTCCGTTTTTTATTTTTTAGGTTACGTAGTAAAAATTTATTTTCATGCCTGCATTTTGAGATGAGCTCGAATCTTTTATTTAATAATTTATTTTGGTCGGGGAAAAGTAATGATAGCTATTTTTTCTCCAAGCAAAGTTTGCAAGTTTTTGATTGGTTGTTGTAGGCTGATGACATTTTCCTTATCTTCCAAGATATTTTTGGTGTGATGTGCGTTTTGTTTTTTATTTCCCAGATATACTTAGAAAGCATAGTACTGTTCGCATATTTACTATTTGTGAACGATGTTTTTTGTGTATAATTTCTTTGCTTCCAGGGTCCTTCAGTTACTCCTATGTATACTTTTTTCTTCATTATCTGGTGATTTTATCGTGGCTTGGTATATTACGTTGTTTTGTAAACAATTTCCGTTTAAGGGACATTCGTTCTTTTATTCTGCAGTTGCAAATGGGTTTAATTTGTTCGTGTGGTTTGTTGATAATTTTCCTATTGTGCTTTTTTATTATTTGTGCCATGCTATCGGTGCAGCTGTAGCTGATTTTTACTGTGTATTTGTTGAATATCTTGTGTAAGGTGCTTGATTCTGGGAATTGTTTGTGTAAGAGTTTGAAGAATATTTTTCCTACGTTTGTTTTTACGTTCTTGCTGTACGGTAAGTAAATATGCGAACAGTACTATGCTTTCTAAGTATATCTGGGAAATAAAAAACAAAACGCACATCACACCAAAAATATCTTGGAAGATAAGGAAAAAGTCATCAGCCTACAACAACCAATCAAAAACTTGCAAACTTTGCTTGGAGGAAAAAATAGCTATCATTACTTTCCCCGACCAAAATAAATTATTAAATAAAAGATCCGAGCTCATCTCAAAATGCAGGCATGAAAATAAATTTTTACTACGTAACCTAAAAAATAAAAAACGGAAAAAATAAAATAAAAACAAACAAATACACTAATAAAATAAAATAAAATAAAATAAAATAAATACTATGTTGCTTAAAAAACCGAAAAGAGAAAATATACAAATAAATTGACCTAAATTCATCCAAGTAAATAGACAAACCAATCCCAAATTAAAAACTGTTCCCGCCAAAAAAATAATAGTTAGAATGAACTACAACAACCAACCCCAAAATTGAACAAATAGCTTTAATTAAATTCTCAAACCAAAACAAAACTGTTAAATACGTGATATAAACAAATTTTTACTACGTTAATAAATAAATAAATAAAATAAGAAACAAAAAAATAAAAACGAGCAATATAATTTGACCCAAATAAATAAACAAAGCGACTTCCGGTAAAAAATAACCGCCATAATAAAATACCCACAATGCACCACTAACCCGTATATATATAAATAGCCGAAAAATAACAGCATATGTGGCCTGACGATTGCATATAGCATGAAACAGACTGTCGCCTCTAAGTGTTGACTTTTATGTTCACTTTATATATATTTATATATATATATATATATATATATATATATATATATATGTATGTGTGTGTGTTTTTGTGTGTGCGTATTCTCATAATCTGTAGAGAGGACTGTATAAATAGAAGAAAAATAAATAAGGAATACTCTTTATTTTAGCCGATGGGTTTCACCAATTGACGGACTTTATCAAGGCAAAAGCGAAATGAATTTATTTGAGAGCAATGTATCCAATCAAAACAAAAATGAAATGTTGTTAGTTGCCAGAAAATTATAAACCCTAATAAATATTCATAAGTTCAACTGTAGACTATTTAAATACGTCATTTTGCCTACTCGAAGATAATTTTTCATATGAAGTATAAATCTGTGGTGTTATTTTTCGACATTTTCTATACTCGAAGAAAAATTGTTATATGAACTATAAATCCGTGTTTTCATTTTTCAGTAATCCGGTAGTATTATACGGATTTATATATCATATGAAAAATTCTCTTCGAGTTGGAAAATGACGTATTTATATAGTCTACAGCTGAACTTATGAATATTTATTAGCGTTTATAATTTTCTGGTAACGTATAAATACCAACGGCTTCCCATACTTAATACTTCACCTTTTCACTCACATGTGGTCATGTGTGATGTCATGAGCTGCGACACGATTTTCGCTTCTGCGTTTTGTATACATGAGTTAGTCGTTGCTCTGAAATTTTTCATGTAACAAAAACAGACTATCATTATCGTTTCGTCCGCGTATTGGTTGATATTTTAAAAAGTAATTATCATCTTTGATAATGGCTTATGTAAGCCGAAAGCTTAGATCGGATTTAAACATGTATCAATATGGTGATTTCCTTTTGTCTTTCAATGATAATGTTATTAAACTTAGACAATATGAAAGGAACTTACTTAAAATAAATAGACAAAACTTGTTTATATTATTTAATGAAACATGCATCAATATATATATATATATATTTTTTTTTTTAAAAAGAACATTTTTTTATGTTTAACATTCATTTTTTTATAGATACAAATATTTAAGTAAATGTTCTGTTTATAATAAACAGTTTTAAACAACATTTACCGCCTGAATGTCGTGACCAATTCGGTAAAAATATTCCTCGAGATTCGAACCTGACGGAACCGTCATTTAGCTTGACCTACCTTTACCGCTCCTTCGAGGACGAATATTTTCGGAAAATTTCTCGGATATTCAGGCCGGTAAATGTTGTTTAATGTTGTTTATTATAAACAGAGCATTTACTTAAATATTTGTATCTATAAAAAGAATGTTAAACATAAAAATGTCTTAAAATAATTGTCGGACTTTGTCCATTTCATAATATATATAATCAAAGTTTTGATGTTTTGTTTACTTTGAGTTCATTAAGGGACTGGCGAATAAGCGCCGACATTTATTGTTGTATTTTGTGACAGCTATCAGTTTCAGATTGCTATCTATCTATCTAGATAAATAGATAGATAGATAGATATGTCAGTCTGTTTACTATCTACCGTTCTGTTGTTGGTGAGTCAGTTTTTTTACAAGACACATAGATGTAGATAAAGATTAATTAATGCTTCAAAAAATACTCACAGAATCCCGAAACATCTGTTAGGAAAACGCCCGTTGCGAAATCCCCGAGATAAAATTCAAAGATTGCTTGAAAGCATCCCAAATGCAATTTACTTGGATGAATTTAACATGGCGACAAAAGCCGAACTGAAACGAGGCTTTTCGAATTACGTCATCTCAGCAAATCGACGTAGCTTGATATTCACCACGAAATTTTCTATTTTCTTTTATGCGCCATGTCCCTTCAAGACGTTAGTGATTATGGCTCTCCACAATTTCCTGTCTTTAAATTTTGTATAATGTAAATTTATTTCGAAATTTCTGAGACGAGGATTTTATTGTTTATAACCGGGGCTTATGTTCACATTATTTATCGTTTTGGCTGCTGTGACCTCTGACCTTCTGAATGAATCGTCAAGATGTTCTGATAATAAGAAAATACAAAAAATAAACCCAACAGACAACAGTGAACATTTATTTGACTATAAATTTATACTTATTTATATTCATGTCACACCAATCAAGGCGATAATGCCACTACGACGCAAGTGGTTAAAATATACTTTATAAAATGAATTATATAATTTAGTAAGGAGAAATGAGGAAAAGGACAATAAAGGAATAGGGTTCCGTAAGACAAAAGAAGGCGATTGACGCTGGAATTTCATTTTTTTGAGGATTGTAGGCAGCAGAAGAACAAGGAAACGGAAGGATGTTCCACATGCGAGAAGTGCGAGAAAATAGACTTTTAGAATAGAACGGCGGATTCCATCTATCTAGTTCAACAGTAAAGCAGTGAGACCTAATTGTCAATCAAGTAGCGCGCTTAAATTCATGCAGTGGAGGCATTAAGGAGGAAAGCTCGTTAGAACAATTCCCATGAAAATATTTATCGAAAAAAAAGACGTTACATCAAGTCTGTAATAAAATGACTAAAGCCGAGATGCCAGGTGAGGCTCGATTATATTTCAGACCCTTCTTTGAATTTTGTCAAAAATCTCGAAGTATATAGTAGGAGCAGAAGACCTGATATGGCAGCAGCATTCAATAATGTAAATAATAGTTTTACGATTTACGCGCTAATACGTAGCGGCTTCGTAGGAAAGCAAAAAAGTGTACTGGATATAAAGGGTCAAGGGATGTTATTTACCGGAATAATGCCTTACCCCCATATCTGATTGGTTGATTTTACACCAGGAATAGATTCCACTTCCGACTCGTTTGATATCATAAATTTAATTCATTATAGACCAGTCACGATAAGCGATTGTACTCTCAATGAAACTCTTACCATAAACGTCTATTTGGACTGAAGTACATCGCAGAGCCGAAGTAGAACAAACACACACATTCATCTGACGATGGATTTTTAAAGTCTTTTCCTAATTATATATATATATATATATAGTTAGGTAATGAAAAGTTTGGTAATCCGTATGAAAAATTCCAAGGAGGTTGTAATCCAGACAAAAATAGCCATTTTCTTTCAACACTTCTGGTGTCTTCTCAAGTGATGGTGTTGAATATATATATATATATATATATATATATATATATGAAAGTGAACAGCACGTAGAGTCGACAGTCTGTTTCCTGCTAGGCTGATTACCTGACGATTTCGTCTAGCATGAAACAGACTGTCGCCTCTAAGTGTTGACTTCTATGTTCACTTTAATATTTACATCCGCTCTATCTCTGATATTGAGCACTTTATCCCATAAATATAGCATACCTTAAGACTATATTTCTTTATTATATATATATATATATATAGTTAAAGAAATTTGATAAAACTTCAAAACTTTGTCGGGATTCTGTATCCTATCTTACACATACACACATACTTATATATATATATATATGTGCGTGTGTGTGTACAATTCATCACTGACGATGCTGGGAAAATAGCCCGTTATACAAAGAATCAATAGATATATTGATATGGGGCCGGTTGACACTGGAATCAAAAACACAGTTATAGGTTCGGTTTACACCAGAGACAAAAAATTTGGCAGAGGTCCGGTTGACAGGAGAGTCAAAAACCAAATTGAGGTCCGGTTTACACTTGACTCAAAATGGTAAGCAGAAGTCCGGTTTACATTAGAGCTATAGGTCCAGTTTACAAGAGTCCTTTTCCATTTTATCCTTTTCCCTTATATATATATATACATAAACCGTCTGTACTTTTCCCCTTTTATAAGGGCAAAAGACTGACGATTTTTTTTATATATATATATATATATATATATATATATATATTATATGCGCAGTAGTTAGTTGAAGGTGCTCAATATCAGTGATAGAGCTAACATATTCAATTGTATTTTTGTATGTATATTAGTTTGTCTAATCGATGTAACTATATATATATATATATATATATATATATATATATATATATATATATATATATATATATATCCGATGCAATGAGAACGAAAGTAATATATAAATTCTAACGTTCACAGCATTAATCCAAAAAAGAGGTCTCGATACCGATAGTAGAGAGATAATTATTTATTATAATTTTATCATATAGACAAAAACAGTTTACTCACTACAGAAGCAGAATAGTTTATAACCATTTTTGGTTCCCACCAGTCGAGGTGCA